AGCCAAATTACCCAAGGTGTCTCTACATCCTTAGGAATAAAATGGGTTCTCCACACAACCCTGCAGGCCTCAATCTTCAGGCAAAGTTGAAAAAGTCAAGTCAGTCCTTAAAAGCCCAACTTACCAAGCTGGCTCTAGAAACCTGCAGTCGTGGACAAAAAGTCTTCCCTTCACACTCATGAGACTCCACACAACACCAAAAGCACCTTCTTTTTATAGTCCCTTTGAAATCACGTATGGCCGAACTTTTGTCTTAAGGCCTCCACCCTTACCAGACTCTGAGCCACTTGGGAATTACCTCCCCTCCCTAATCCAGACATGGTCTTTCATTTGTGAAGCAGGAAATGAGGCCACGTCTCTCCCTGTTGACACCTCCTTGTCCTCTCATCATAACTGTCTTGCAGGCACAGACATGTTTATCTGCCAACCTGACCCTCACAAAAAGCTACAACCGAAGTGGACAGGCCCCTACACTGTTATACTCAGCATGCCAACTGCAGGGAGAGTCCAAGGACTCCCCACTGGATCCATTGCACCAGGGTTAAGCTCATCCCCAAGGCTACTTCTTCCTCCAGAACATCAACAGCTAAGTGGTCATCCAGGCCAATTTCTCCTACCAAGCTTAAATTAACCAAAAATTTTCTTAAGGACCAAAACTCCCTGGAAAGTCTAAACATGAGGAAGACTAATCACCTGCTTTCAGAAATGACCTGCATTGATTGCCCCAACCACTTGCTGTGCCTCACTTCAAACCAAATTTTTTTTTTTTTTTTTTTTTTTTTTTTTGAGATGGAGAGTCTTGTTCTGTTGCCCAGGCTGGAGTTTAGTGGCATAATCTAGGCTCACTGCAACCTCCGCCTCCTGGGTTCAAGTGATTCTCCTGTCTCAGCCTCCCGAGTAGCTAGGATTACAGGTGTTCACCACCATGCCCAGCTAATTTTTTGTATTTTAGTGGAGATGGGGTTTCGCCGTTTTGCCCAGGCTAGTTTTGAACTCCTAACCACAGGTGATCTGCCGCCTCAGCCTCCCAAAGTGCTGGGATCCAACCAAAATTCTTAATACAGAAATATCCCTCACCAAAATCCTAAAATTGTCCATAGCTGCACAGTGGCCCCTCTAAGCTGCATGAGTATTATCAGTCTTTCCACTATGGAGGGAAAATGCAATAATCCTGTACTTACCATACTCATAGGGAAAAAGCCTACTATGGAACTTTAGTCAAGGAATGTGGTGAATCAGGGAAAAGTTATTATAAAGTAAAAAATCTAGGAGTGTCTGGTAGTCGTAATGGGGCTTTATGTCCGAAAGGTAAGCAGTGGCTTTGCTTCACTAAAATTGGACAATGGGGAGTAAACACTCAAGTGCTAGAAGACATAAAGAGACAACAGATTATAGCCAAAGCAAAAGCCAAAACTAACAACTCCCCCCAACATCACCCATAGTATTTCCATCCCTTTATACAAAACTACAAGCAGACACATCCCTTTACAAGCCAGGAAAAAAAAATGATCTAGGAGAACATGTCGTGCTTACCATGAACATGTCCAATTGCTGGGTATGTGGGGGAGCTTGTATGAGTGAACAGTGGCCGTGGTATGGGGTAGACATTCCCCCTTACTTACTAGAATCCCAAAATTCTAGCCTCACTTTCACTCCTCAGGAACACCCGAAGTCCTGGACACTCACCAACCAAGTAAGAGGGATGGTATGCATATCCCACAAGTGGACTAATAAAACCCATCGCACCGTAGATGAAAACCCCTGTCATTAAACCCTAACAGTCAATGACTCCACAGCAGAGTGGTGGCCAAAGTTACGCCAGGACCCTGGTATCCTTCTAACTTAAGCTACTTCAATTGTGTCTTGTCAGAAGAGGCCTGGCGCTGTACAAACACACACCACTAACCCTTAGGCCACATACCCCTGCCTAAGTGCATTATGGGACAATCCTATGAACACCAGCCTGGAATGGATTGCCCCTGATGGATTCTTTTGCATATGTGAAACCCAGCTTGCTCATGGCTACTTCATCACTGGCAAGGTACTTGCTTCCTAAGCACGATTCAACCTGGATTCTTTTTACTTCCAAAGCACGTGGGCGTCACCCTTGGAGTCCCTGTGTATGATAACCTAAACAGAGAAAAATGATCCTTAAAGGTCTGAGGAAACTGAAGATGGCAAGAGGATGAGTGGCCTCTGCAATGGATCATCAAATATTATGGTCCAGCCACTTGGGCTGAGGATGGTTCATGGCGTTATTGCACTCCGATATATATGCTAAGTAGAATAATTAGACTACAGGCTGTTGTAGAGATAATCACTAACCAAATCACCTCAGCCCTGGAAATGCTGGCGCAACAACAAAACCAAACACGTGTGGCAATTTATCAAAATAAACTAGCACAAGACTATACTTACTAGCAGAGGAGGGGGAGGTCTGTTGGTAAGTTTAGTATCTCTAACTGTTGTCTTAACATAGACAACAATGGAAAAGCAGTTCTAGAAATCGCTTCAAACATCAGGCAAGTAGCCCATGTACCAGTCCAAACCTGGAAGGGATGGGACCTGACAAACCTTCTAGGAGGGTGGTTCTCTAACTTAGAAGGATTTAAAATGCTGGTAGGGACAGTAATCTATCGTTGGGCTCCTCCTGTTTCTCCCTTGTGTTATCTCATTGATAATAAAAGCCATTAAAACTCTTGTTGAAACTATGGTTAACTTCCAGGCAATCCTGCTACGACGACACAATGGATACCAGCCTGTCTCTCAAGGATACCCCCAAAATTAAGTTTCTCTTCCTTTTTCTGAGATGCCCATGCCACATCCTATGTCACACCTAAAGTAGTTACTGAGAAAGTTGTCCCTTTTCCCTTTTCCTATAACCAAATAGACAGGAATGAAAGATTATCCCTGGGGCCTGAAAGCTTGGGGGGATAACTCCTCCCTCCTCAGGCTGGGTCCCCAGCTGCAAGAACACTTACGCCAGCAATATGCGACAGCAAGAGGGCAGAAGCCAGAAGAGGGTAGGCCAGAAGACAAATACCCTTTGCAGATCGAGAGAGAGGCCGTCTAGGTACCACGTAGCAGGTATGTCAGACTGGGATACTTAACCATTTACAGGAGACTATAAATCCCCTGCCTCACCTTCACTTGGAGCTGACGCCATTTTAGACCTCAGCCCGTCTACACCCAGGTGCTCATTATAACAGCATGTTGCTCCACACCGCCTCGTGTAGCTTGTTGGCGCACTCTCAGGGTTTGAACTGACTATAGAGCCTTGCAATAATAACATAGATAATGGAAGAAAACATTTACAACTTAGAAAGTTTTGAGGCCCTGAATATCAAAGATAAACAAGAAAATCCTGCAGATCTTTTAGTAGGGAAATGGGCTTTCTGGCTCAAGGGCCTGGCTGACACTGAATTTAGGTCACACACCAGGTGAGCCCAATGTGTGTACTTAATGCTTCAGGTGCAAACAGTATTAAGCAGAGATTGTTAAATTATTCTAGCATTCAGCAACTTTCCTTTGTCATGTTGTGTCACTAGGAGCCAAATACCAACCTTAGGAACTTTACGGTAGTTTTTTCCTTCCAGTCTTCCTACCTAAAGCTGCAGGCACCAATTTTTAAATGCCATAAGCACAAATTACTTTGGTAACAGTAAAAAATTAAAAATATGAGAAAGGAGGTATTCATGGGTAAGACAAATGCATTACTATTAAAAGAAACCACTATATTTATGAAATGGATACAAAGGTAGTATGGTGATAGTTAAGAGCAAAGCAGACTCTGGATGTCTGCCACTTACTGCTAGTTGTGTGATTTGGGGCAAGTTACCTAACCTTTCCGTGTCTTAGTTTCCTGAAAATATGAGTTAATACATTATCACAATTATTAATTCTGGCACATAGCAAGGGCTTAATGGATCATAGCAGCGCTGCTGCTGGGCTGCTGCTGCACTGGGAAAACAGCACTGTACACAGAACTTTAATGTTGCAGTCTTGAATTTAAATGCCAACTTTAAACTTAAGTTTCATACCACAGCCATGGTAGTTAATCCTTTATGCTTACAATTTTCATATCTAAAACAGGAGTATGAATACCTACTTCTTTCAACATCTGTCATCTAGCCATGAACATCAACTGAGTACCTAGATACTAGTATGACTAAGACACATTTCAGCCCTAAAGGAGCTTACAGCTTAGTGAGTAAAACTCAAAAGTCTTGCTTTCCTTTCATGTGGACATTTCTTAAGGCTCCCTTTGCCTTAGGAGGTAAAGAAAGGGCTGCCAGGGTCAAGTATGTTTTTTAGTACCATGAGTACTATGATTTTTTTTTTAAAAGTGACACTAATCTTCTTAGCAACTGTTGGGCAAAAAATGTGGCCAGTTCTGACACTCTGTATTTTGCTATTTTAAGAAAAATACTATGAAGCAATTGGGTCACTAGTAAGTAAGCATTTGTGGATGATATGACAGTCTTAAGAGTGAGGGGACCAGTGGGGACCAGGCCCCCATCTCTGATCAGAAAAGAGCATAAAACATTTTAAAAAGATATTTCTATTCATAGGCTGGAACTGTGTAGTTTACAACGTGCCTCTTTTAGTGATCTTTTAAGACCTGAGTGTTCCTTTGAATTAACAGCTCTCAAGTCATTGTCCAAGAGGAGTCACTATCACTTGATCCTTTATAAACCATGTCCATTCCCTTTTAGAGTATCCTACCTTGGCACACATGGTGGGAGATTACAGCAAACAAGTTTTTTGTCAACCTGGACAACTTCATCCCAATAGTAAAGACCTTATTTTAAAGCTTCTTGATGTTAAGAGTGCTTATTTTGATCATCCCCATGTGAGTCGGCCACGGAAAAGGTGGGATAAGCTGTTCTCCTTTAATCTTTTAGTTAACTAAGGGGCTTTAGAATGTCTAAAATAATAATAATATCTGATAATCATTAGTATAAGATGAATAAAATAGACTACAAATTCAAAAGACAACCTGAATGTCCGTTCTTTATAAAGAAACAATGCATAACGTTTTCATGTGTCATTAGCAGTTGGTATTTAATAGCTATGACTTAAAATTGTATACTTAAAACCTAACAAATCAGCATATACTTGAAACAATATTTAGTATATTGAGACATTTAGTATCTTTAGAAAGTATATAATTACACCATTATTAAAAATTAAAATTCAGAATATTTTCCATTATATTTATATATCACTACAATATAAAATAATTATATATATTATTTAAAATCATACTGACGAAGATTTACTACAAATTCACTTGAATGGTGTCTACAGACATCACAAAAAATCTGACTTCTGTGTGTGTGTGTGTGAAAAAAAATCCTCTAAAAACCAATATAATTTAAAAAGAAAATTAAACCAGAGATAAATAGAATTATCCAGCAAAAAAGGAATAGTAATAACTATCCTATTTTAATGTTTCAGTTAGATAAATTATGTTTCAAAAATCTTTACATAAAAACTCTAATTCCATTACCCATAAATCATAAAATATAAAAACTGGTAGTATATTTTTTTTTTACCTAATCACATTTTAGACTCAATAAAAATCTACTTAAAGAAAATAAATTTGACAATTTATTCAAACATTGTTACATAAGAAGTTTTAAGAAACTGTAAATAATTCTTAATACTCTCATTTTGATTTTCTGACTTCTCAAGACTATTTTGTATTTCTTTCAAACACACTTCCTGATGTTGTGCTCTCTAAAGGAAAAAGGAAAAAAATACAAATAAGCAATAATGGCATTCATTTCAAAGGACCAGAGTCATAATATTAAATATATATATACAGTGACTAGATAATTCTTTTTAATTTTTTAAAAGAAAGAATACTCACATCTGATGTGCTCATTCTTAACTTAGAGCTCACTCTTCTTTAAAATTAATAATCAAAGGACACACATAGTTTATCTCCACTGATATTAATTTATAACACACATTCATTTAGCCCCAAATTATTACATATTTAACATGATTAACTTAATAAACAGGTTCTTTAAACTGTCATAATTTCTATGTCATTTAACATGATATATTTTCATATTTTTGCCATTTTCTGTCTAAAAGTTCAAATTTTATGCCAAAAGAATTAAATGTCTTTAAAACTTATAGAATTTTAGTTTTGATAATGTCAACATTTTATTTTTAGAATCCCTTAAAAAATAAAAAGAATTCTTCATATTACAGTTGTTTTTTGAGGAAAAAAATTTAAAACCCTGATACTTTTTAACTAAGGTGCATTTGAATTCCTGAGTAGGTAAGTTCACTGACAATGCTTTAGATAAATACAGGTTGCAAATATCATCTAGCTTCCAGTGAAAATATAGACACCTAGATAGATAAGAGAGAACTTCTACATCCTTCATATCAGATGTTCAATGATACCTGATACCTTCTGAAACTGAGCAATGCCCAGCTCAGGAAATGAGGTGGGAACAAAATAATGTGCTAGACGGGGCTCTACAAAGTCACAGGATGAATATAGTGAATCTTTATGGAACATCAGTTTTACTCAACAATTTCTAAAGACAAATAGTAACACACACTTATTTTGTAGGGTAGAATGTAAAATGTCAATGGATTTTAGGGTAAAACATAAGACTTCAAAGACATTTCAGGCTTCAGAAGGGGTGCCTTGGATTAAGGTGCTGAGGTCATCCTCAGATCTGTACACCTATCCTGTGCCACCCCATTAGGGTACTTGGACAGAAAATACAAAAAGGCCTGCAGGTAAGCAGGGCACTGTGGGAGATACCAGGGATATAGGCAATTATAAGACAGGCTCTCAGGGTGTTTACAATTCAAATGGGGCTGAAGCAGGCATATTAAGTAAATATTGCCCAGTGAACTGTCCCCTGGAAGGCACAAAATACACAAACTCATTTTTCAGCAATGTTTATGCTTAGAATTCTAGAATTTTACTAGTGCAAAAATTATCAGGCTTGGCCAGGCGTGGTGGCTAATGCCTGTAATCCCAGCACTTTGGGAGGCCAAGGAGAGCAAATCACGAGGTCCGGAGTTCAACACCAGCCTGGCCAACATGGTGAAACCCCATCTCAACTAAAAATACAAAACATAAGCTGGGCGTGGTGGCAGGTGCCTGCCTGTAATCTCAGCTACTCAGGAGGCTGAGGCAGGAGAATCTTTTGAACCCAGGAGGCAGAGGTTGCAGTGAACTGAGATTGTGCCACTGTACTCCAGCCCAGGCAACAGTGCGAGACATGGTCTCAAAAAAAGAAAAAAAAAATTATCAGGTTCAACAAAACATCAGATCTTAAATCTATTTATTTTAGCAGCTTTAGACAAGTACTAGGGACCTTATAGCAAAACCCACTTCATTTATTTTTTCAGAGGCTTCAATTACACAAAAAACAGCAGACATATTTTACAATATTAGAAACTCTAATGGTGAGTTTAAAAAATCTAGATATAAATGGAAGGTCTGTGTTAAATTAAAGGTGATGGACGTTTTGTTCTGATTAAGTTGTCATGAAAATTTGATGGCAATAAAATCAAATTGTGCATGCCAAAAATCACTTAACCTTTGAATCTTTTAGGTTTTCAACTTTTTAGACACTTGGGAATTAAACAGTAAATTTTATGGAGTCTCTGGATCCTGGAAAAAATACAGTATCTATTCTGTATGTCATTAATAGATAATTATTAGGTAGTTTAACCATGACTAATGCTAGCTATCAGAATATTCTATGCCAACTGACTATTTCATGAGTACTCAGGAAAAAAACAAGGTGAATTAAACACAGTCAATTTGGTATTTTCATTTCATGGCTGAGTGGACTAAAGCATCCATCTCATATATAGATCTAATAATACTGAATATTTAACACAAAATTGTAACTTTCTAAAATATTCATTATTCAAGACAAATGTAAAACTCACATAATAGTTTAAATTGTGTTTATCTTTAAAAAATGAAAAATTCATATCACGATGAAATGAAGATTATATCTATAATTTTCATTAAGTGTCTGTCATTGCAAAAGTAATATGTAGGAAAAGAGCCTGATGAGATTTGAGGGCAATCCAATACATGCCATTCAAGGAGGCAGAATAATACATTATTTGGCATAATATTTTTATTTTTTAAGTTTTACATTACTTTTTAAAATATTATCAGTAAAGCAATAGCCTCGATTCACTCACTTTGTACTTTAATCTACATGGTAAGAATGTTAAATGCTAATTTATTTTTTATGTAATATGTTAAACCATACTAATACTTACACTGTTCATTTTGCAAACAAGTTGATTTTGTTCTTCATTTTTCTTTCTAAGCTCATTTTCCAGATCTACTATTTTAATTTGTAAAGCCCTCTCTCTAGATGACATTTTCTCTATTTCTTCAGCAACCTGTAATTTTTATCAAGAGTAAAATAACTAAAGTGCTTTCATTAAAATATGATTTAAAGCCTTGACATAGTTATATTGTACCTCTTTTTTCTAAATAGATACTACTTGTATATTATATCCAAATTTAAGTTTTATCTCGAAGAAGCACATATAGTGTAAGTATATACTATACTTATCTTTGCAGGATGACATATCTGCAAAATTGGCTTGAGATGGAAGAGATGTATATATTTTCACTGCCCTATGACTTAGGAAGGTGTTTTCCCCAACAGTGTATTTTAAAAACAGACTGAGACCAATTACCATTTTTATAGCATTTATACTCACCAGGGTGTTAAGAGCAGTGATGGAACATAGAAATTTCTCACTAAATGCTCATTATACATTTGGATTAATAGAATTGGGAGTGGGAATTGGTATACACACTTCCTACAAACACACACAAACAAACACAGAGAGTGGTTCTTCATTCATTCACTTCCAAACTGGTCTGAATTTGAATTTTAATATTTATCTGACTACTTATTTTAGCATAAAGTCTAGCTTAGTTATGGTCATCCAAGCAATGTGGAAGGCTATTTGTAAGAATGCTGGGTTGGAGCCACAAGAATGAGAGTAGAGGCAGGGATTGGTCCAGAAACAAGGATTTAGTGGAAAAGACAGTCCTCTAAAACCTAATTCCTATCAACTCGGTTCTAAGTTATTATAAAGATTTCTTCTGCATATATTCCAAGTGCAATTATGCATCAGAGATGACAATGTGATCTGAAGCTTATGGGAGAAAGGGCACTTAGGACAAACATCGATGCCCTTGGCACCATCCCTCAGTGTGGACAATGTTAACAGCGCAGTAATTGCTCTCTCACATGGGCAGAAACTACAGATAGCCCCATATTCCACTACAGCAGGAGAGAAAGGGGAGGACAGACATACCTCTGGGACTCTAAACTCTTTGGGAAGGAATCTGAGAGAACACCTGGCATTTCCAAAATGCAATTGGGCTGAACCCTACCAGACTATGAGAGTTCTGAGAGCTAAGGCCAGGTCTTATTCAATCTTTGTATCTCAAGCACTAGCAGAGTGCCTGATACTGAAGTATTCATTGAATGCTAACCTAATGGCTGTAACTGAAATTTAATATTGTATGTATTTATTTATGCCACAATATTTGTCAAAAGGGACTTGAACTTTACAGCTCACTGAATCCTGATCAAAAATAAAATTTTCAATTATTTTCACATTCAATTTGGTAGTATATAAAAAAGGTATAGGAGGAGATTATGTCTTCAAAGTGTCTTCCATCTCTGCCCTTTCCCCAGCCACATTACCATTTATCTAGTGAAGTAACTCTAGCCCAGCAATATATCTGTTTTGCTTGAAAGGGAAGATAGTTAAAGAATAAAAATGTAGTTTCTTCCTTCACCCTATCATCAGGAAAAAAACAGTAACTATAGGTTTGGCAAGATGTTTAAAAAGATGACTCTTTGGTAAATGAATTTAAAAGTTTCTAAATAAAGGTCATGTATACCTTTTGTCTTCCTTCTTCTAAAGCAGCTTCCAGTTGTCTGGCCAATGCTGTATATTCTGCAGATTTCTCTTTAAACTTAAGATGGCTGTGCTTAAGACATTCTTCTTGGTTTGCCAGCTTCTTCTCAAGCTCTTTATTTTCTGCATCCATCTGTTCTAATTTTCTTTTCACAGAAAATATATATTTTAAAATTTTAGTGTGCAGATAAATATGCAGCACCAATGTTAAATAATTTAATACTTACTGTTGGAGGTTTTCACACTTCAGCTGAATAAGATAGTTTTCCTCTTCCAGAGAAAGCTTCATCAGAAGATTGTGATTTCCATCAACCTAAAAGGAAAAAAAAAAAAAAAAAAAAACCCTTTTCTTAGTCATTTTCTTCACAGTCAACTTCCAAAGAAATCCACATAATTTATCGTTAGAACCACCACAAGCAACAAGGTATAAATGTTACTACTCTTACACAGAAAGACACCAGGAACGTGTTATATTGTTAAAATGGAAGTTTTAAATTCCTGGTTAAATTTAAAGAAGCTATGTTGCCTGTGTTGGAAAATAATCAACTGAAAAAAATTCAGGATGATGGCAATTAAAACATTGTGAAGGCAATCAAAATATCTGAACCTTATTAAAGGACATTTATTAAGTTGAAATATGAAAAATTTTAAGCAGTATTATTTCCTATTGTTGGATACCTAGGGTTTCTCTTATGGTTTTCTGTTTCACCTAAAAATATTGATTAATAATTGAATATCTGTGAAGTTGAAACTGTAAGTAAAAAACATTTTTGATGGCAATTAAAACATTTGAATCTTATTAAAGAAGGACATTTTGTTAAGTTGAAACATGAAAATTTTAAGTGGTATTAATCTCCTATTGTTGTATACATAGGCTTTCTCTTACGGTTTTGTGTTTCACCTAAAAATACTGATTAATAATGGAATATCTGTGAAGTTGAAACTGCAAGTGAAAATATATTTTTGTGAAAAGCAAAATGAAATAAATCAACCAAAGTCACACTCACCCATGCAAAGACAGAATATTTTTTTCACTGCTTCAAAATCTGTTTTAAATAATGTAAGAAGCTTTGATTTAAGAGAAAAAAATTCTCATAATTTCAATTAGTAATTTAGGCTAATCTATGCCATTTGATGTTTTCCTAGAAAAATCTCTTCTCAGGAATTTAAACTCTAAAATTTTGTCTGCATATTTTTATCTTTTTGTAGCTTTTAAGTTTAGGGGTGCAAATGCAGGTTTGTTACATAGGTCAACTTGTGTCATGGGGGTTTGCTGTACAGATTATTTCATCACCCAGGTATTAAGCCTAGTACCCATTCCTTATTTTTCCTGATCTTCTACCTCCTCCCACTCTCCACCCTCTGAAAGGCCCCACTGTGTGTTGTTCCTCTCTATGTGTCCGTGCATTCTCATCATTTGGCTCCCACTTATTAAGTGAGAAAATGCAGTAATTGGCTTTCTGCAAAATTAAAATCCAGATTATATTTGGAAGATAGACAAGGAATGCTTCCTAAAACTGTCTTGAAAGTAAAAGAAAAAAGACTTGTCACCATCCTTGAACTGCTTCTTTAAAAAAATTTCATTAATTAAAAAAATACTGAGTGCTTACTATGTGCTAGGCATTGAAGTAGGAGATGGCTACATGATCCCTATTCTGATGGCATAAAAAGTATAATAGAAAAAAAAAAAAAACGGACTGGAAAAAAATCCCCAAAAACTTAACATACAATTCTAGTTAAATTCTAATTTTTGTAATGTAAATTTCAATAATTTACCTTATCCTGACATCAAGGAACATATATGTAAGCATAAATTTTCTCCTTTCATTCTATTACCATGTCTTCAAATGTCTATAGATTTGCATAAATAAAACAGAAATTTTAATTACCAATTTTTCGCCATAAAATACTTAAAGAATAGTTTGCAAAATAATATTATAGTATCTGCATGAAGTTGACGCTTTACCAAGTAGATGGGAATTTAAAAATCAAGCCCTGACATGAGTGCCCTCAACTGGTGAAATCATTCCAAAACATTCTTTTAGCAAAACTCAGGACTGTTGGACACCTGGCCCTGAAGCTCCCTAATGGTGTGTTCCTGGTCTGCACATTTCCCCTTGCAGCACTGCAGACTCTCCTGACACTCGTGAAGCCTCCGTTTGGCCGCCATCAAGGAATCGCCGACATGCTCTAACTCCTTCAGATGAGACTCCATCTGGCCTCTCATCTGAGTTGTGGCAGTAGAGAAATAAGTGCAAAATCACATTCAGCATTAATATTTTTTATTACCTTAATACCAGATATGCTCGTAACGTAAGTATTCTAGGTATAATGGTTTTAAATAAGAAGACAATTGAATAAATACTAATTTAAATTCTGTTAAATAAAAATGTATAACTAAAAAATGGGGTAGACTATAGTTTTCAAAAAGTTTCTTGAGCACAGAAATAGGGTAAATTAGCTGGCAGGGTGGATGTTTAACCAATTTTTAGAAGCAAACTTTTTAAATCCTGACATTATATTCAAGCATAGATTATCACTAATAATCATTGCTAATAGAGCTGTAGTTGTCAACTGTCCAGCTCTCAGTTCTAAAGGAATTGTCACTTTTTGTCATTTGATCTTATAACTCAGATACTTACGTAAATTAGAGTAGCTTGCTTCACTCATCTTAGCCAAAACTGGTGGGGTTTACTGTTTATAATTTTAAAACAGCTACTATCATCAGTTCTCATTTGACTTTAATTTGGCCATTAATGTTACTATCAACAAATATCTCTAATTTCATCAACATTCATCTGTTTTGGCTACTGCAGTTACTCACTGCAGCACTGTTGTGGAGATATGAAAAGCAGCAACCTTAAGAAATGTTTGCACTGCTGATAACAAAAAATAGCCAGATTCTTTCCCTGAGATTGGAACACCAAATAGTTTCTGTATAGTATGTGGCAATCTTGATTATAAAAGATAAAACCAGAACAAAGGATCTCTCAGTGTCTCTAAAACATCTTAGTGGCCATGAGAAAACCAGGAGACTTAAAAGAGTGAAATAAGAAAAATAAAAATTCCATTAAAAAATAGTTTTCTTGTTAAATACCAGTAAGAAAACATCGTGACCTCACAGTATCTGAAAAAGACAGGCTCCAGCCATTTCTGCCATTTGAACAGGTTTGTAAAATATGCTTTTATTTACAGTGCTGCCTAGCAGAAGAGGAGACATTTGCATTGGTATGTATCATGAGAAAAAGAGACCAAAAGACATGAAGTGGTTTCTTCTCTGGCCTACTAAAAATAGGTGACAAGTAATTCCATGAAAGCAGTAAGTTGTGCATTCATTGGGCTATCTTTATCTCTGTTTAACTGGAGGATGCTTGCTCTGGCTGACTTCTTCTTCACATTGCTACCTCACTTTGACTTCTCAATCCTAAGACAGAGGAGCGACCCAAAGAGAGTGACCTTACTAGATTCAGTTGGAACTGACCACTAACATCCCATGACCTCTGCTGCTAGGAATCAGCATCCTACAACTTTCACTGCTTCCTTATGAAAACAACACAAAAAACCAAACAGGGATGCGGTTTCATTTAAAAACTTTAAAATATTCACAAAAACATCATAACTTGCCAACACTGGCCTTCCCTTCATTCTGTTGCAATAGAGCAAATGAAAGGAAATGACAGTTTTTTAAAAGATATTATTTTTCTTCAAAAATGCATTTAGCAGATAATATTGGCTTTGCTTTTTTAGACATAAAAGATTTAGAACCAGAAAAAAGGGGTGAGATTAAAAATGTTATGTACTTAGGTTTGTATACCATTGATAGATAATCATTTTTTGAGCTATTTAAAGTCTGCTGTTGCATCAGAAAAATTAAACATTTATGCTATTTTCCAAATATTAAGAAAAAAGTGAAAAAACATTCACATGAACGAACAACATTTCCAGCCTGGAAGAAACATTATTTCCTTGGAAAATGAACTCCTACAGAGGTTGAGACGAGCTCTTACCTAAGTATGAACTAGAGAAAAATGACCAAAATGAATAAATTTGCATAATATTCATAAAGTAAAAAGCACATAAATATTACTTTATTTGAAATTGCAAACGTACCTTCTCTACATTTTTATTTTTGGTTTTTGTTATTTGGTTATTTTTACGTAGCAAATTTTCACATCTGTTTTTTACTATTTCAGCTGTTTCTTGCAACTTTTGTACCTGAAAATAAAGTATATTGTTAGAGAAGCATGTATTACGTTTAGAATCATGAAAAAAATCTAAAATTTAAAATTTCATTTTAAACAAGTCAATATTTTCCTATCAATATCGTTGATTGGTTTATCTAATGTTATTCCTTCTTTAAATATGGAATCACTCAGTGCTCTAACCCACAATGTTTATCTGATTTACCTGTCTTCTCTCATCAATATTTCTAGACTCTTTACTTAAGCTTTGAAGATTACAAAGATCTTCATTTGCAGATCAATGTCACTTCAAAGAATCAGTCTCTGGTCCAAACTAGCTTCCATTTAAGCTGTTTTTTCCACCAAATCAAATCTGCTAAAAAAATATTATAGGCCCTGCACTCAGAATATGGCAACTCAACCACAGTATTCCTGCTGGGGGATTAAACCCAAATAACCAGCTGGAAGACCCTGATGAATAACAGGTTCCAACAGTCCACCACAACCTCCATTCCTACCTCAGACCTGGATGGCTGAATATTCTAATTGGATGTCTTAATTCTAGATGCAGCCTCTTCCTACTTCCTACTTGCCTACACTTTGTTCCCCTTAAGCTTTCATCCTTAGTTCATTTTTTTTTTTTTTTTGGAGATGGAATCTTGCTCTGTCGCCCAGGCTGGGAGCACCGTGGTGCAATCTTGGCTCACTGCAACCTCGCAACCTCCACAATTCTCCTGCCTCAGCTTCCTGAGTAGCTGGGACTACAAGCACATGCCACCAAATGTGGCTAATTTTTGTATTTTTAGTAGAGACAGAGATTTACCATGTTGGCCAGGCTGGTCTCAAACTCCTGACATCAACTGATCTGCTCACCTCGGCCTCCCTAAGCGTTGGGATTACAGGTGTGAGTCACTACACCCAGCCAGTTCATTATTCCTTAATTCAAACTCTTTCTTAGTGACCAGTGTGTTACCCATTATGGAAGGACCTGCATAAGTTCCATCTTTCTCATGAAGTTTTTTCTTGAATACTACATTTCCAAAAAATAAAGGTTTTCTATAAATTACCACTGAACACATGCTGTATTTCATATATATTGTCATATGTCCTTTTCTTGGTCTTTCATGTGAATAAATCTGAATTATACTTTATTTATTAAGGAGGCATAATGAACTTTAATGACCCTAGAAGGGAGTCGTTAATCTAAATCAATACTATTAAATATACAAGTTGACAAAAAAAAAAAAAAAAACAAGATTAATAAGAATACATTAAGGGTCACATTATACCTATGTAATTAATTTTAAATCTACTTTTAGGAATATCCAGTATATCCATATGCAGTGTTTTAATCAGGAAACATTAGAATCATCTATTTATAAAGATATCTGGGACCTTAAGAAATATTTGAGACATTTTATAACCCACAATAATAGCCCCACCTCTCTTCAGTTCTGTTTGTTTAGAATGCAAACAAATAGTGTTTTAAATTGTCTACCAATTGTAGTAAACACCATAATAAATGCAGTAGTCACCTGAGTTTTATACATTTCAATAAGGGTTTTCTGGTTTTTTTCTACTTCTTGCAATTCTAGTAGTTCATTTTCAACAGAAACAACTTCATCCTTCAAAGAAGCAAGTGTAGTCTAGCAAAAAAGATATAAATAGATTTTATAAGTCATTAGAATACACTTATACTCCAGTGCTAAGGAATTATTATAAAAACATAACTCATGTATTAACAAAGTTAATAAAATATTTTTGATTTCATGTAATTACCATCTAAAATTTAGAAATTTCAAAGAGTTAATAACTAATACTTATGAACAACCTTATTAAGATTTACACCGGACACATGATTTTTAAAACTTTTAAAGTTTACTGACAAAAAAAAAAAAAAACTTGGAAAAGTAGACCATGTTCCTAGATATGAAATATAAATACTGTTGACATTATCAGTTTTTTCCAAATTAATTTAAAACCACAATTTCAAACAAAAGTATAACAAATGAGGAAGAAGAATATGACAAAACTAATTTAAAACTAATATAGAAGACTAGGAAAGAGTGACACCATTTTGAAAGGAATACTAAGTGAAGAATCTCAGTACTTAGTAGATATTAAAATGTATAAAAAATTAAAATTAAGATACTAACATTTGAATATAGAGGTTAATAAAAAATAAAAATACACAAAAATTATACTTAGTACATGATAAAGGTTATATTTTTAAATCAGTGGAGGAAACATGGACCACTAAATAAATGGCAATAAGACAACTGTTTATTAGAAAAAAACAGGTTAACTACCTGCCTCAACCCAACACTAAAGAAGCATCAAATGAATCAACTAAAAACTTTTAAAAATTTTCAGACAATTTGGTAAAACTTTATTCCTTTTCAGAATAGCAAAAATCCTAAAGAGCATAAAATTAAAGGAAGATATAGAGAAATTAAAAGTCTGAGATTTTATCTTCCTTGCAAGCTTACTAGTTAGCCTACTGCAGTTTCATGGATGCTAGCAGAAGGAACAAGATTCCTGGATCAGATGCAGGGGACTTAGTACCCACAGCAATAGGAGTAGTAAGACTGTCAGCAATGGTATCAGTTTCCTGAGCCTCAATTTCCACAGAGCAACCCAAAGAGGCCAGGTGGCAACTGCATGTGCAGTCAAATGCATTACAGAAGAAGAAACCTGAGTTTAGGAAACCCAAATTTCTTACAGCAGGCAGTCAGCATGTCTACCCATGCTCCTAAGGGAGACATAGTTATCATATTCCAAGGATATCTACTATAAAAGCATCCTTGAAAAGACAGTCTACATGGACAATGTCTCTGCTTACAAGATGTGCACAACTGTGAGAGCACTCTCGAAAGAAGCCAATTTTAAAAATGTGAGTGTATCTCTCTCCAAAGTTTCATAGCTTTCCAATACAAACAAAATATGAACAAAATATTGGCAAATGACAAATTGGATGTCTTGTCAAATGACATTTGTCATTAGAAAAATAAAACAATTAGATTAATATGCTTAATATATAGTTATTATATATTAATTAGGACAAAAGACAAATATAAAAGATAATAAGTAGGTAATTCAAAAAAGCATAAATGTGAATGATCGATGAATACATGAGCCAATACGTTCACTAGTTATTTTTTAAAATGTTGTAGGCACTGAAGTTTCTATTAGTGAACAAACCAGACAAAATGCCCTTCCTTTACAAAGTTTACATACTGGAGGGGCGGGCAGACAGACAAAAAACAAGAATAAGCAGTAAAATATATCAAACGCAAAAGCAGCTAGGAATGACGTGAGGGAAGGCCTCCTGAGAAAGAGACTTTTGAGTAAAACTGACAGAAGTGTGTCTGTTTAAGGGAAAAATATTCCCTTAAGGGAAAAAGGCAACAGTGGGAGGAAGCCTAGCAAGTTAGGGGAAAACAAGAGAGCCAGTGGAGTAGAAATAAGAGAAAAAAGGGGAAGAATGGAAGGAGATGAGAGAAGAAGAATAAGAGAGGTAATAGAAAACTAGATGCTATAATGCCTTGTAGGTATTTATTAACCAAGATATCTCTGAGCGGGGCGAGGTTGCGCAGAGGAGTGGCATGGTCTGATTACATTTTTGTAAAAACAGCTCCACTGCTATACCGAATGCTGCCTGCAGGGGCCAGGGCCAAAGCAAGGAGAATGGTGAAGAGGTTACAATAACAATGAGAGATGATGGAGGCTTGAATTAGGGTAACAACAGTGGTGCTGGTGAGAAGTGGTCAAATTCTTAATATACTTGAGGTAGATTTGATGACAGACTGGAAGCAATGTATGAAAGAAATGATGATTTTCCATTAACCGGGATGAGAAAAACTGTAGAATTAACTATTTTGAGAAACATCAAAAGCTCCATTTTGGACCTGACAACTTTGAGACACCTATTAAATTTCAAAATGGAGATGTCAAGCAGGCAGCAGAATATATGTCTGGAATTCAGGGGTAAGGTTAGATTAGAGATATAAATTTGAGAGCCTGGAGCACACAGATGGTATGTAAAGCCACAAGACTAAATGAGATTACTTATAAAATTTGGAGAGACTTGTTTTAAAATTAGTACTTTTAATTACCTAGTACTGGAACATGTATAGGGACTACTTTACTTATGGTATACACATTTATGATGGGCAATTTGGAAATACAGAACAATATTAAAAATGAGTCTGTCTTTTGACCTGTATCATACAAGTAAATATATCCTAAGAAAACAGATAAGCAAAAAAGACTCAAAAAACATTTTATTTACAATAGTAAAAAACTGGAAGTAGCATATATACTACTTTTAATTAATATGTATATTAATATATACATATATTAATAAAATCAAAAATTATATATACTAAAATATTAACTTCAGTTATCTTTCAGTTATGAGATTACAGATGACTTAATTTTTTGTGTGTTTTTCTGTTTTTTCTAACTTTCTATAAGAAACAAATACAACTTTTTAACCTTCCAAATAAACTTTCTGTTGTGTCTAATACAGGAGATTGCTGGGCCTTGGAAGCAGTATTCACAGTTTATTTTTCATTTGCAACTTTAAAATCCAAAACTATTCTAAAGTAATTAAAAGTAATAAAACACAAACATCTAGGCTGCAAAAAAAAATGCATTTACACTGCAAAAAACATATGCCAAACATATTTAAATGTTTTCCTTAAAAATCCAGAAAAGAATGCATTAAAAATACATTTCTTAATTATTAATAGGATATGCTAAAATACAAACTTTAACTCAATGACTTCTGTAGTCTATATAATTCCTTCATCATTTTATCAAAAACTAGTTTATAATTAATATCTTTCTAATTCTTTCTCTCTGAAGGATTTCAATAAGAAAATAAACATTAAAAATGGCTTCTTCTTTCCAAATAGAGCAATTTAAGCATTCATTTAATAAATACTCATTTATAGTTAAGTATATGTCACACCATCCCTGGGCAACCTGTGTGTACATAAAGATAGGAGTTTACAAGGAGAGATTCACTGAGAAGAATTTGGAGGGAATTTGGGAGGAAGAATTTGGGAGGAAGTAGCATTAGAGCTAAATTTTAATGGAAAGGTAGGATTTAGATACTGAGAAAAATAGCATTCTAAAGTATAAGAATAGGAAAACTATAGGAGTAGAGGCAGAAAATATGAAACAATTGCAGAAAATCAGTATTCATATTTGTCTAGAGCTTTGAATAACTAGAAGACTACATTCCCTAGTCTCCCTTGACCTAAGTGGGGGTCATGTGCCTAAATAAGTAAAAGAGTCAAGTCATATGGGAATTTGGGGAAGGTTCCTTAAAGGCGAGGAAATTATTTTTTAAAGGAAGGTAATGTATTTTTGTTTTCCTCCATCCTGTTGCTTGAAACTTGACTACAATGATTGAAGCTCCAGCATCTATTCTACATCATGAGAATGAGGGTCATGACCTAGGGATGGCAGAACAGAAAGCTAAAAAGCTAAAGAGCCACATCAGCTTTGAAGTGCCAACTCTGGACTTTTTCTGCATAATAACTATCTCTATCTTACTTAAGCCACTTAATTTGGGTTTTCTGTTATGTACAGTGAAGCTGAATCTTAACTAATATAAGACTTGCTGAAATATTTAAAATACTTCCCTAGAGTGCTAGGGTATTTTGTTTTCTGGAATTTTCCAATACATTTTCTGGCAAACTTTATATAACTTAAAATGTGAGACAAATCAAATTTCTAACTATAAAATGTGAACAAGATTGCGTCTAGTATTCTTTTCCTGTTTCTTCCAAATTCTAATTCTGGCTTTGCCACTAAACTAGTTGTATGATCTTGTGCAAGTTATTTAATCTCTCTGAGCTTCAATGTATTCATCTATAATTAAGAAAAATATCTTTATTATAGTATTACATGAGAATTAGAAATTAAAAAAATGTAAAGCACTTATCAAGTGCCTCCTACATTAATGGTAATTGACAAATAGTAACCATTATGGTTGCTACTCTCCAGAGTCATTTATTAAATGACTAATATATTCCAGGCACAGTACTAGGCACTAGAAGTAATGGGAGGATAAAACAATCCCTGGCCCTGGTATGTGGAGGATGGAGGGAAGAACAGCCCTCAGAGGGAGACAAATTATACAAACAAGTAAGTATAATGATGTTCTACCCACAAAATTAATATAGAGAGAATAAAGCACAGTAGAAAATGGGGAAAGGTTAGTAATGTGCCCTATCCGAGAGAATGTCCTAGGTTTAAAGAGTCTTCTTCTGGAGAACTAACCACATTTTAAAATCTCCCTTCATTCCCAAGACCAAACTAATATAAAGAAATAAGATGTTTATAAATCAACTTAATAAAAATAACAGACCAGGGGTCATCAAAGGACAAAATATTTTTAATGCTTCTGGAGAACTGATGACTAACTAATGAATCAGGAGGGTCTTTAGCTAAGGAGGAAGTTCATCCACCTGCTGAATCTAGAGAGGCAAAGGGTTAAGGGCAAGAGTGAGACTTAGATTTGAAAAGGATTAATTCAAAGCTGATGAATAGAACAGCTGACTACCACTACCCTCTACCCCCTACTCACACACTCAAGGCAGGACACCTGGAACTAGCAGTTTACTTCCTAACAAATAAAAATAAGAAAAGTCCTTCTCTAAAGAACTTGAATTAACTGTTTGGGAAGAACAGAGGGATGGTGTTGGTGACCCAGAACAAAGACGGGTCATTTGTATTTTGGCATTTTTTTAGGGGCTACCAGTAAACTGCTAGTTTCCCCATAGTTGAGAAAAGTGAAGTGAAACCAGTCAAGTGACAAGAACAATCCACACATCCATTTAGTTTTCTCTTGTTTTGCTAGTCTTTTTATTGTCTCATTTATAAATTCTTAAATGTCAGAGTGGCTTGCATCTGTAATCCCAGTACTTTGGAGGCCAAGGTGGGAGTATCACTTGAGCCCAGGAGTTCAAAAGGCCAGGAGCCTTGGCAGCATAGTGAGACCCCACCTCCACAAATGCACACAAATTAGCCAAGTGGTGGCATGTGCTGTGGTCCCAGCTACTTGGGAGGCTGAGGTGGGAGATCACTTAAGCCTGGGAGATCGAAGCTGCAGTGAGTTCTGATGGCACCACTGCACTCCAGCATTGGCAAAAGACCAAGACTCTGTCTCAAAAAGAAAAAAAAAAAAGTGCCAGGAGGAAACAAATAAATTGAAACACTGAAAAGAAAAGAGAAAAAAGAGAAATCCTTATAGGTATTTTTAAATACTTGACAATAGGAACACTTGGGGAATACTTTTTTAAATTCTTGGAAATTAAACTTTTAAAAGATGGATTAGAAGATAATGACTAAAGAAGTCTGCCCCTAAAATTGAACAAAAGCCAGAAATTGAAGACAGAGTATCCATTTATGAGGTCCAACAAATCAACAATACATTCGGTAGTACACCCAGACAGAAAGACTGGAGAAAATGGAAAGGGGCAGGAGAGAGCATTACCAAAGAAATAATATAAAAGAATTTCTCAGAGGTAAAGTAACTGAGTCTTTGGATTTACAAGGTCTACAAAGTACTTAGCACAAGGAACTGGAAGACACAACTAGATGCGTGTGAAGTTTCAAAACGTCAAGGATATGGGAAATCTCTTGAAAATTTCAAGAAAAATAAAAAATGTCTCTACAGAGGAATAAGTATCAGACTGGTGGCAGATTTTCTCTACCAGCAACTCTGACTTATAGAACACCGTGGAGCAAAGCCTTCAAAGTTCTCTGTAAAAAATTACTTTCAATCTAGGATGCTATACCCAGCTGAAACCATTAATCAAAATGAGGACAGAATAAAGGCATTTTTAGACATGTAAGACCATTTAATGTTTACTTCTCACTTTCTTTTTCTTAAGGGAATACTATTTGCAGATATATTCCAGTAAAAAGAAGAAGAAGAAACAGGATGTGGGATCAAGGAAACAGTGGAACCAGGATAGCAATCAAGAAAATTCCAGCATGGCATCTGGGCAGCAGGCCTAGAGACCAACTCATTCAGATGAAACAAGAAGACAGAAGGTCCCAAGCAGAAGAAATCTGGGGAAAATGGGTTCTTCAGAGAATAGAGATAGGATGAAGAATTTCAAGAAGAAGAAGAAAAAAAAAAAAAAAACAAGACTATGATAAGGGCAAAGAGTACAACAAGCAGGGTTTTTGGAAACTCCAGGAAAAATTTAAAAGTTGTAAAATTTAAAAAAATTATAAACATATTACTTGACTGTGTAGTGAAAGAACAACTATAAAAGTCATTGTTATTAATATTTAGAATCAGTCTATGAAAAGAGCACTTTGGGTTACAGAACAACTTATCAATTTAACCATACTGGCAATGTAAAAGGAAATTGCAAAGTGAACATGGGGAGAACAGGTAATTGAAAAATATACTTATTTTCCAAATAAAAGGTGAAGATATATAATCTGTCCTATGTTTCACTTTTCTGTCAAGTGAAGCTCATCTTACAGTATTGGTAAGCAGGGGAATGATGTATAGCAAAGAACTAACTTTTGTTCAGATGTAATTTTTTCTAGTTTGTTAATTAATTGTCTGAACCACGTAAAAAACATCAGCTGAATACAAAGTGCACAAACACAGCTGAACACAGCAAGCCACAGAGATACACAGCACTCTACATAAAGCCCATATACTCCATGTTCCTCCTCCTCTTTCTTCTCTTTGGTCATGAGCCCTATCTTGGAAGTGCTTATTGTATATTGCCCTTATGTTCATATCTTATATCCATAAAAAACTCTTTTAGCTTCCTATATCAAGCTACCTTCACTTATTTTTTAAAAAGGATAAAGTTATATGTTTGTTGTAGTATTTTTTAGGAATTTAACATGTCTTTTTAGTTGTATTAGTATTTATATTATCATTTATGTTAGCGCTCTACTAATTAGAAAGTCAATATAATTGACCAAATTTGATAAATCAAGGTATAGTAGCATAAATATATAATTTAGAGATATGCAGATAACCATCAGAAGAAGAAAAATAGAAATTGTTTAGAAATTCTTTTTTACCTGCCAAATTAGCAGACACTATAAGTAAAAAAATACATTTCATTTCCCATGCTGATGGGGTATAGAGAACTAATGGCAATAAAATACGTTTTTAGAAGAAATGTAGCAAAGCATATCAAGAACATTCAAAATGTTCATATTCTTTGAATCAATAATTCTACATGGGAATATGAGCTAAAGACAATACAACAAAAAGTTTATGTACAAAAAAATTCATTGGATCATTATTATTATTAAATGTTAAAAACGTTGGGAATAACCTGAATGACTAACAAATAGGGAATCTCCTAACACTTCTACATGGAATATATATTACAGAGTAATTAAAAAAGATGCCTATAAAGAGTTTATATGTTATATACATATCACATCTGTTTCCATTTTAAAGTGAACAAGGCAAGACATTATTTTAATGACAACTATGAAAAAAACAGAAGTATTACAAAATACCGTTATCTCCAAGAACTATGGGATCAGTGATCATTTTGTTCTTTTCTTTCTATATTTCTACAGTTTCCAATTTTACTGTAATGAGTATATATTTGTCACTCAAAAGATAACACTGAATAAACTGTTGGAAGTTGGAGGAACTATGTTCACTGAATAACTGAACTTTTATTAAGAAAACACAAGAAGTTCATATTTCTTGAAGGACTATAAAGGACTTACAAAATTTCTTGAAGGAAAAAGTTCTAATTCAGAATAATGTCACCGCTAAAAAAAAAGGTATTAAGGTAAATTGCAATTTGGATTTTTTAAAGTCTTTGCTAACAAAAAGTAGCCAAAATAATTGTATTACTAAATACATTAAAGGTGAGAAAAGAAGACCTTGCTACTTTCTATGATGTATATGACTTAGATTACTATTTCCTCCACTAACTCCTGAATGAACACAGCCAACAGGACTGGCAATTTCAAGTCCTCCACTTCAAACTAGTAAGAGTCTTTCCACTTGGAACAAAACAGGCTTGAGATTTGTGAGCCTAGCCTTGTCCCATTGGTCTAAAGGAGATTAAAACTCAACATCAAGATGAGGAAAGTTATCAACTTTATAAACCTACAACGGGAAAGAATCTTTTTGGCTTGGGCAATCTGTTGTCTTCTGCAATATATAATAAACAACCTTTAATTACTATACATTGTACTGCTTAACACTATGTATCTCCCGCAAAGACAGATCAGTGTGTAGACTATAGATTGGCTCCTGGGAAAATATGCTAAGACCTACAATGGAGAAAATTCTTTTTCCAGCACATGACATTTTAGACATATAGCGAAATAAGGGTTTAGAAAGAGTAAAATATATTTGGATGTATCCCCAGTTTCCTTCAGAAAAGCAATCTTTTAAAAAAGCATTTAACCGCACCTGGAAAAAAAATAAAAAAGCAATTCAGAACCTTAAAGCCTGGAATGCTATCATTTTATTAAAATAATTTCCTTTGGTGATGATTTTTAAATTATGTATATTTTTTCTCATAAACAAACTCATTTTTAAAAAGCCACTGCAGTTTTTATATGATGTCTACATAATTCTAAACAGCCAGTAATTATGTTTCCAAGAAACCAGTGCATTTCTAATGCAAAACAAACAAACAAAAACAAACCTTAACTCAGAAAAAAAAAAAAAGCCTTAGATCTTCACTTCTAACATTAAATATTTTTTCTCTCAAGGATCATGAAACATATCTGCAACATCTTTTAGGAATTTAACATGTATTAAGAACATCTTAATACACAGAATAAATGTATTATTTAGTTAATTCTAAATACAGTGATAGAATTAAACTGTTAGGAATACAACAAAACAATGTTAGATGCTTATTTTACAAGTTACTCTAAAATGTACTCTAGCTACTAATACATTATTTATCCTGTGCACACAAACTTTATTTCATGGTTTAAAAAGATTCTTTTCTGTCTTCTATTTTCTGTCCTCTAAAAATATTGTTATGGAAGTGAAAATCATGCCATCATCTTTCAAGTTCCATCTGGTCCTTATATGTATCTCTGGTTGACTGTAAACTCAAATATCTTTTTTTCCCCACAAAGAAAAGCTTCTCCCCTGTCTCTCTTCTGGTACCTATGGAAAGCAATTACCAGTCGGATTTGAGTAAGCTGGAAAATTCTTTCTGGTTATAAAGCAGCCAAGAACATACTTTCTGGTTTCAAACAGACCAGGCCTGAGGCTATATCCTATCGTAACCATGACACTCAGAAATAATCTTATGTACTAAAGTTAATGTAATTTGGATGATTCATTTAACTGCTAAAATTGGATAGTAAATCATTTATTTTAAAAGTTGAGGCAAAGAGTCAACTTCATAAATCTTATTTAGTACTGCTGAAAATACATCCTGACAAGCATAAAAGACAAGAGCACTGTACTAAACATACTCTTTCTTCAAGCTACTTCTATTAAGTAGACTATGGTCATTACATAACATATGCTTGCACAAACATACATACACAGTACCTTTAATTTTGTATTCTGAAGATTCAGAGTTTCATTTTCATATTCAATTGAGTGAATTTTTCTAAGAATTTCTTCACATGAATTTTTTCCATGGTCTTCCATTTTCTTCAAATCTTCCAAAAGATTAATGATTTGCCTTTATAAAATAAATGAATATTTTACAAAAGTCATAAAAATTTTTACTCAAACAATATATTTTAAGTGTGTTTCTGAAATCACTTTGGTAGGGTGTATTGTTTCCAATAGGGAATATACAAAAAATAAACAGAATTCATAGAACAGCAAAAATAGGAAGTTGTAATCTAAAAGGGTACAACCAAAGCAAATCATTAGAAACAATTACCCACTGATGATTCTGAGGAAAAATTATACAACATGCTCTTTGCTGTTCAATAAAACTTCTAAGCTATTATCCACAAGTATGCACATCTCTCTCTTCCTCTCATACACATGCACAAATTTACACACAATTTTAGGGACAGGTTAAAGAAAAGAATCAAGGCAGTAACAGCCAATCTTTAGACATGAATTACATATGGTAGTTTTCAATGACAAAACTGAAGAGAAGACACAGAAAACACTTAAAATCAAATATTCAGGGTTCATTATTGTGTTATCAGTAATACATTTCAAATAATAAAATACATGCATTTTTACTTTGCATTTTCTTTGTTATGCATTTAAGTCACTTGAATTAAGGAACAATAATTTTTAGGATTTTCAAAACAGTTATAAATTTTTAAATATATTTTTACACATTTTTGTTTAAAAGAGAACATCAGCTCCATTTAAGACAAATATTAACATTTACTACAAATAATAGATGGCATACTGAAATAATGAATGATAATCTACAAGTTTAAAATTTCAAAATGTGAACACCAATTCACTTTTAATGAGCAATCATTTTAATTATTTTTAATAGTACAGTAAGAAAACTTTATATAAATAGGAAAATATCAAATCACGTAATTAGCACCTTTACCATATATAATCTTAAAAAATCAAAATACAAACAACTCAAAGAGTTAAAAGAAAAAATGAGAACTCTTACTAAATAATAAAAGATTCTAAATTCCTTCTTACTTTTTCATGGTTTCAATCTGTACTTCCAATTCAGTTTTTTCTATTACAATTTTCTCATAATGACTTTTCCAGGCATTGGAAGCTGAAATTGTTTCAGACAACTTGACTTCCTAAAGAATACATAAAAATACTCATCCTATAATTTTAAAATATTTTTGTTTTGTTCAGAACTCTAAACACAAATACATTATAAACAAGGAAGCAGTCATCTAAAAAGCATGAAACTTTCAATACAGAAAATTGTACACACATGTTTATAGCAGTGCAATTCATTATTGCAAAAATATGGAACCAGCCTAAATGCCTATCAACAAATGAGCAGACAGAGAAAATGTGGTACATATCCACCATGGAATACTACTCAGCCATTAAAAGGAACAAAATAATAGCATTTGCAGTAACCTGGATGAAGTTGAGATCACTATTCTAAGTGAAGTAACTCAGCAATGAAAAACCAAATATCATATGTTCTCACTTACAAGTGGGAGCTAAGCTATGAAAATGCAAAAGCATAAGAATAATATAATGCACTCTGGGAATTGGGAGGAAGGGAGGGAGGGGAGTGAGGGATAAAAGACTACACATTGTGTACAGTGTACAGTGCTCGGGTAATGCGTACACCAAAATGTCAGAAATCACCACTAAAGAAGTTATCCAGGTAACCAGAAACCACCTGTCCTGCAAAAACTATTGAAATAATTAAATAATGTAAGTAGACAACTTTGAATAGGAACATTTTAAAGTATCTATATTGCTATCATTTTATATACACATAGTGGAAGTTTCAACTTAACACTTTAAAAGATGTTACAACTATTTTTAAACAATATTTCATAATTAAGATAATTTCTTTTCTTTTTACTGAACATTCCATTTTTTTTATTCTTTTGCCCTGGCTGAAGTGCAGTGGTGCAATCATGATGGCTCACTGCAGCCTCTAACTCCTAAATGTAAGGGATCCTCCTGCCTCAGCCTCCCTATCAGCTAGGGCTACAAATGTGTGCCACCATAGCTACTTCATAGAGGTCACCCCATCAGCCTTCAAACACTGCTACTGTCCACAAAGGTATAAAAGTGGTACTAGTGGCTTATCCATTTTGAATGTGAACTCCATGAGGTAGGGATTTTTATCTGCTTTTGTTCATGGCTGTATTTCTAGGGGCTTGATGGATAGAATCTGGAGCACAGCAAACACTCAATAAATAGCTCAAATAACTCTCTGCAGATCCACCTAAAGAGCTGTGCCTCCTGTCTACATTCTACAGAAAAACAAACACACTGGAAGGCAACAATTCCAGTAATTATAAATCAAAAGGCCCAGAAACAGTAATGATAACAATTAACATGTATTGGGTTTTTCTTTCTTTCATCATTCATCCATTTACTGAACATGTATTTACTGAGAATCTATTATGCACAAGACTTCTTAAAATTTTTTCAAAGTAATACTTTTGATATACTGAATTACTAGTTTGTTTTCATAGTTTGTATATGAAAACATATTGTTTTCATATTTTGTATAAAATAAGCTTTAATATAAATTGTGAAGTATAAGTTTATAATGTAAATTAAGATATTTAGAAGGTTTATCAGTAAGAAAAGAATTTATGTATTAGCAATATAATTATTACCTACTTCATTAGTATGACATTCCCAGATGTTGAAACTAGTCAGTGATGGAATCACCTTCCTAGAGATTTTTTGAGTTGGCCTACCTTTTCTCTTTACTTTAGAAAAATGGCACATCTAAGCCACCAGAAGCAAAAAGAGGATTTGTCTAGTTTTCAAAGAAGGAAATGGGATAATTCTTCAGTGTGCAGAATTATAGAGCATTTAACATCCTGGCCCCTGGGCACTAAATGTCAGAATCAGTTCTCTAGTACTTTCAAAATCCCCATTTCTTCTTTCATCTGTCCTTATAACATGCACATATAAAGCAAAATCCCCCTTTTAACCTTTTCTTCCACTGCATTGAAACTGCATCTGAACTAGTACTAGTACCTCCTAATTACCAAAGACCATAAACCATAGACCCTTACAAATCCTCCTTGTCCTTGATCTCTCTTTCTGTAGTCCTTGGTAAAATGTAGGCATTGTGTAGATATGTGATAACATTTTGTTAAACTATCGTTTAGCCCTTGTTGTTGAACTGTTCATGTTTTAGACTTAAGATACTGTTTTAAATAATGGTACCCTTACCTTATGTGAACAGGATAGTAAGCTCCTGCCTTCTGAGACTTATATTCAAGTAGAAGTAAACAGTTAAAAATTAAACAAAACACAACAGCAATGATAAATGGAAAAAATAAATGATATGGTTTCAGATTATAGTGAATGCTATTAAAAAAAATTAAGACATTGATATGATTGTTTTGGGACTACTTCAAAAGGATTGTCAAGAAAGGCCTCTCTGAAGAGATGTCAATTGAAAAGATACCTAAATGGTTAAAAAAAGAAAGAGCTATTGTGAGCCAGAGAAGAACATTAAAGCCAGAAGCAACAACAAACAAGAAAAACAACAAAACAAACACTTCATGCATTAAAGGAATAGAAAGGAGGACAGTGCAAAAATATATTTTCTTATTTATTTCTCCCTGCAAACACATGAGAAAGGGAGTATTATGATTCCCTATTTTATACATGAGAAAATTGAAGCCTAAAGAGGTTAAGTTCCTTATCCAAAGTCATAAGGTTAACAATAGGGACAGTCTTACATCTGGGGTGTGGTAGTGATGCTATTTAAGTAAAATCCCCCCAAGAATGTTAACAACTCAATTAGTTTTTACTACTCAAGAATCTTTTCAGGCCTTCAACCAGGTCTACAACTTTCTAGACTTTAAACCTAGTCTTCAATGTTTTTATCTAGTTAAATTCTTCTGATGATAGGTTAAATATTAAGCCTTAGAATGTTAATGCTTGAGCTTATAAAATAGTATTTTGTTTGCAATAGGCTTTTATACAAGTCTGTTTTCATTTCTGAAAGCCTCTAAAAATTCTATAAGCCTTAACATTAGTTCTTAAGAAGCGAGATATCAGTGAGACATTTTTTAGTAAAATCAATTCGTAATTGAATAAATATAATAATTTGTCAAAAATAACAAAACGCTATGCCCATTTTGAAATTTGTACTATAGCCAAAGATATATTTTACATGACGAGTTTATTTCAGCATATGGTTTTAAATGTATTACAGAGATTAAATGAGGTTACTGAATAAAGTCATAGGGTCAAATGACATAAATCAGCATTTCTCAAACTAGTGTTCCTCAGAACCAGTTCCAAGAGTTGCTTTGCGGGTAAAGGAATAGCTCTGTGGTTAAAAAAGTGTGGGAAATACTTAGTTCAATACCCTTCATTCCACTGTTTCTGAAAGCCTTCTCAGAGCCTTTAATTTGCTAACATGGACAATAATGTTCCAAGCAAAAATATGTATGAAGTATTACCCTTAGTTAGTTGGCCAATAGAACCTTTTTTGTGCCTGGGGCAGGGGACACACTTAATATTTCCTGTAAGTAAAGTTCCCAAGGAAATGCTGATATATTTCAATATGAAAATTTGACATTTTATGTAATATTCCAAAATAAAAGATTAAAGCAAAAAGTGCTGTTTTTCTGATATTAATAGCATTAAGAGAATAAAATTACTATATTAAGCATCATGATATTATATAAACTAAGTACATAAAATATATCTTTTAAAAAGAATGTATTTACATACCTGATCTCTAATTTGGGAAGTAAGCTTTTCAATAGCTCCTGTAAAATGGTCAAGCCTTTGTTTGTAAACTTTAGATGCCTTTTTTAAAGCTACAGTTTTTTGCCTGCTTTCTTCTTTCATCACTACAGCCTCATTCTTATTCATTCTCAGTTGCAGGTTCCACTTGGCTATCTTGGTTTCTAAGCTCTAAAAAAATAAATAAATAAATAAATAAAATGGCAACAATTAAAGCGTTTCAGAACTCCAATTTTATGTAAACACTGTAAAAATATGTATATAACTGATATAGTATGTATATTAGTCCATTCTCACACTGCTATAAAGAAATACCCAAGACTGAGTAATTTTAAAGGAAAAAGGTTTAATTGACTCACAGTTCCACATGGCTGGGAAGATCTCAGGAAACTTACAATCATGGTGGAAGGCAGAGGGGAAGCAAGGACCTCCTCCACATGGTGGCAGAAGATAAAAGAGTGAGGAGCAAAGGCGGACGAGCCCCCTACAAAACCACCATATCTCATGAGAACTCACTGACTGTCATAAGAACAGCATGGGGGAAACCAACTCCATGATCCAATCACCTCCTACCAGGTCTCTCCCTAGACATGTGGGGATTATAAGGATTAAAATTCAAAATGAGATTTGGGTGGGGACACAAACCACAGCATTTTGCCCCTTGCCCCTCCCAAATCTCATGTCCTCACATTTCAAAACACAGTCATGCCTTTCCAACAGTCCACCAAAGTCATAATTCATTCCAGCATTAACCCAAAAGTCCAAGTCTAAAGTCTCATCTGAGACAAGGCAAGCCCCTTCTGCCTAGGAGCCTGTGAAGTAAAAAGCAAGTTAATTACTTCCAAGAAACAATGGGGGTACAAGTACTGGGAAAATATTCCCATTCCGAATGGAATGAATTGGCCCAAAAAAAGGGGCTACAGGACCCATGCAAGTCCATCCAGTGGGGCAGTCATTAAATCTTAAAGCTCCTAAATAATCTCCTTTTACTCCATGTTTCACATCTAGGTCATGCTGATGCAAGGGGTGGGCTCCTTCAGTCTTGGAAAGCTCTGCCCCTGTGGCTTGCAGGGTACAGACCTCTTCCTGGTTGCTTTCACAGGCTGGCATTGAGTGTCTGTGGCTTTTCCAGATGCATGGTGCAAGCTGTTGGTGGATCTACAATTCTGGGGTCTGGAGGACAGTGGCCCTCTTCTCACAGATCCACTAGGCAGGACCCCAGTAGGGACTCTATGTGGGGCTCCAACCCCACATTTCCTTTCCACACTGCCCCAACAGAGGTTCTCCATGAGGGCTCCATCCCTGCAGCAAACTCTTGCCTGAACATCCAGGCATTTCCATACATCCCCCGAAATCTAGGCAGAGGTTCCCAAGCCTCAATTCTTGTCTTCTGTGTGCCCACAGGCCCAACACCATGTGAAAGTTGCCAAGGCTTGGTGCATGCACCCTCTGAAGCAATGGCCTCAGCTGTACATTGGCTACCTCAGCAGCAAGGCCCTGAGCCCAGCCCACAAAACTTTTTCCTTTTAGGCCTTTGGGCCTGTGATGAGAGGGACTGCCATGAAGACCTCTGACATGCCCCAGAGATATTTTCCCTGTTGTCTTGGCAATTAACACTTGGCTTCTCATTATTTATGCAAATTTCTGCAGACCACTTGAATTTCTCCCCTGAAAATGGGTGTTTCTTTTCTATTGCATGGTCAGGCTGCAAATTTACCAAACTTTTATGCTCTGTTTCCCTTTTAAACATATGTTCCAATTTCAACCAATCTCTATGAACACATAAAACTGAAAGCTTTCAGAATCAACCAGGTCATATCTTGAATGTTAGAAATTTCTTCTTCCAGATACCCTAAATCATCTCTTTCACGTTCAGAGTTCCACAGATCTCTAGAGCAGGGGCAAAATACCACCAGTCTCTTTGCTAAAGCATAGCAAGAGTCACCTTTATTCCAGTTCCCAACAAGTTCCTCATCTCCATCTGACACCATCTCAGTCAGAACTTCATTGTTCATATCATTATCAGCATTTTGGTCAATCCCACTCAACAAGACTCTAGGAGGTTCCAAGCTTTCCCATATCTTCCTGTCTTCTGAGCCATCCAAACTGTTCCAATCTCTGCCCATTACTTAGTTTCAAAGTCACTTCCATATTTTTGTGTATCTTTATAGCAATACCCTACTCTCTGCAGTACCAATTAACTATATTAGTCTATTCTCACATGCTATAAAGAAATACACGAGGCTGGGTAATTTACAGAGGAATGAGTTTTAATTGACTCACAGTTCCATACGGCTAGGGAGGCCTCAGGAAACTTCAATCATGGCAGAAGGTGAGGGAGAAGCAGGGACCTTCTTCACATGGCAGCATGAGAGAAAAGCATGAAGAGCCAAGGGGGAAAAGCCCCTTACAAAATGATCAGATTTCATGAGAAGTCGCTCACTATCATGAGAACAGCATGGGGAAAATCATCCCCATGATCCAATCACCTCCTACCAGGTCTCTCCTTAAGACACGTGGGGATTATGAATATTACAATTCAAGATAAGGTTTGGGTGGGGATACAGCCAAACTATATCAGTTTGGATCTGTTCCCACCCAAATTTCATGTCAAACTGTAATCTCCAGTGTTGAGGCTGGGGCCTGGTGGGAGGTGTTTGGATCATGGGGGTTGTTTCTTATGAATGGTTTACAGCATCCTCTTGGTGCTGTTCTCCTGATAGTGAGTTCTTACAAGATAAGGTTGTTTGAAAGTGTGCAGCACCTCCCTACTTGCTCTCTTTCTCTCTTGCTTCTGCTCCCACCTTGTGAGATGCCTCACTCCCTTTGTCTTCCACCATGATCGTACGTTTCTTGGGGCCTCCCCAGAAGCTGAGCAGATGCCAGAATCATGCTTCCTGTATGTAGAGCCTGTGGAATTGTGGGCCAATTATACCTCTTTTCTTCATAAACTCTGCAGTCCCAAAGGAGAAATACATTCTTAAATTGTTTTTAAAAAAACAAAATCCCATAAAACCTAAGTAGCTGGGGAAAACAGTACAATAAGTGGACATAAGACAAAAGCGCATCCCACAGGAAACACTGCTGTCATTCCTCTAAAAGTCCACACGGTGTCATCATCACACCATGAATGGTTTCTGTCTCCGGTTAAAAAACTTTTAAACATGCAAAGTAAATTTTCTTTTTGAACGTGGTTCCAGACATGATCTTCACACCATATTTATCAAATCCCACACTTATGCACTATCAAGGAATACAGTGAAATGATAAACTTTTTATAATTCTCTCAAGTAATAATCTCTCTCAAATAATTTGCCAAATGAATGAACACTTTTTTTTTTTAAGACGGAGTCTTGTTCTGTCACCAGGCTGGAGTGCAGTGGTGTGATGTCGTCTTACTGCAACCTCCGCCTCCCGGGTTCAAATGATTCCTCTGCCTCAGCCAGGCATGTACCACTGCACCTGGCTAATTTTTTGTATTTCTTTTTAGTAAAGACGGGGTTTCACCATGTTGGCCAGGCTGATCTCAAACTCCCGACCTCCTGATCCACCCGCCTCGGCCTCCCAAGTGCTGGAATTATAGGCGTGAGCCACCACACCCGGCCATGGACACATATTCACAGTGGATTATCTGTCTTTTTCTATATCCAAAGGAGTGTCTGTATACACGTCGAATTTTATACAGAGAATTATTCTCAGTCTCTTCGGAAAATATAAAAATGTTCTAACTCTAACTGCTACATCACAAAAATCTAGAAAGAAAAACTGGTTCTTTGGGTTAGTTCCCAGAAATTTACAATGTAAATTTCTAAAAGACCCAATACAACATTACTCAACACTAAAAAAAATTGAGATTAATGTTGCCAAATTGAATTCATTGGGTTTATACTCTTAAAAGCAAAAAACGAAAAACTGTCAAACCTAAGTCAAATAACTAAATTCTGAACCCCTTAATTACTTAATGCCTTAAATCCAAAAGTGGGTGAGAGAAAATGTGGAAGAATCAGTAAACTCAGATAGTTTCTTTTAATCCTTTCTTAACAGTGGCATTTTGGTAAAGGAATTTGAATCTAAATTATTAGGAGAATTTAACAGTAAAATTTTAGGATTTTAGCCTTCTGTTCTTTCTCCAAATTATCATGGTTATAAAAAATAACTACTATGCTTTCCTTTTAAAAGTTATTTAACATTTCATTTTTAAACTGAAGAAAGTATTTTCAAAAACTTTCCCAACTGTTGTTTGAGGACATAATTTGAAATTATGTAAAATAAAGTGGGGAAGATGATTATCTGTGTTAAATCACACATCAGATGTATTCAGTCACATGTGTTCTCTTATATTTACTATGACAGAGCACTGCAATATCAACTCAAGTTCGTCTGCATTCCCTAGCATACAAAATTTACATCCCCCATAAACCAGCTTAATGTCCCTTTAAAGGAAAAACACACCAAGAAAAACCTCGAGTACAGTTTTGAAACATGCTACAGGTTGCAGACATCTGCTCTGATTCAGGAATGCAAAAGCAAATAGAAATCTAACTCAGAAGTCCACACACTCAATAGAGTCTGAGTCTCTGTTAACTTCTCAAGGTGGGAATATTGCTTCTTTGGCGGAAAAAAAAAAAGTTACCTTATATTGTATGATTGCCACCACAAATTCTTATTTCAAAGTGACTTTGACTCCAAAAGAATAATGAGACCAAAAAATTCCCCTTAATTATACTTCTACAAAGCTGTTTAATAAGGGAATTACTTGAGTTTGTGAACATCAAAATTGGACTGTTTTTAAGAATATTACGATTAGTAACGAAAAATAAACACTGTACTGACTGTTAACTGTGTGGAAGCATGTACAGCTACTGCTCAACTTACAACCACGATTGTGCCAACAGACTGGTCGTAACACGATTTGGTCGTAAGTTGAGTAGGCTATATGTACAGTACTGTGAAATGATGTTATAAAAATCTTTGTCATATTTTATAATTTTCTTTCATTATTGTTATATATCATAATTTTCTTTGTTCATTTTATGCCATTTGTATCATCTCTACATCATTTTGTTTCTTATTTTTACATTCATCAGGTTTAAGTAAAACACTGCATTACCAGTACAACTGGTTTAATATTTGCAAAACATACAAAATTACAAAATACAGGTGTAAAAAATACCACAGGAAACATTTTCCCAATTGCTAAACATATCAAAATATACAAACATGTAAGAAACATTTTATTGGCCACTGGTGCTTGGCTGCGGATCGTTGATGTTGTCATCTGAGGCAGCAGTTGGGGTTACCGGAGTTGGTTTTTTCATAAACATGGTGAGCTTTGTCTGAATTGTATGTTTCTTTTTTCCTTCATAAATTTCACGATACGGATGAAACACATTGTGCGCCATCCGTTCAATCCTTGCAAATCGTTCAATGTTTGGGTCCATTGCTTAGAGCTTAGAAATGTATAAGAAGTTTATTCAGTAAAGATAAACCATCTGATAATCCCTTAGTGGTGAACTTTCTTTCTGGCTCTCCTCTTCTTTCTCTGCTTCTCTTCTTTCTTCTTCCGCCACTCTTTCTTCTTCCAGTTTGATTAGCTCTTCATTTGTAAGTTCTCTGGATTCTTTGTCTAGCAACTCTTCGACATCTTCCATTTCCTTTCCAAAGAAAGGTCTTTAGCGAGTTTTACTATTTTTTCCCGAATAGTTTCAAGTTCATGTTCACTGTCAAATATGTCAAAATCATTAACATGGCACTTAACACAATTTTTCCAGATGCCATTCATGCACTTTGTCGTCACAGCCTCCCAGGCGGTAGCAATATTCTTGATACACAACAAAATGTTGTAATGTTTCCAAAAATCTACAGCGGAGCAGTCGTGGCTAGCGACTGTGGTTGTAAAGTCGAATGGTCGTAAGTTGCATAGGTCGAACGTCGATCAATACCTGTATGTATATTTGTATAGATGTAGAAAAAAGACTGAAATAATGTACACCAAAATGCTAACAATGATTTTGGTGTATTTAAATTTATTTTATTTTCCATAAATTTTCCACAGCAAATATAAATTAACTATAAAATAGAAATGATTTTTAAAGTAATTCAATCCCATAAATTCTTCCTAGATTAGTATTAAACAGAGACAGCATTTTTATATTGGAATTTGAACCCAAACCTTTAGGTAGGCCACAAATATTAAGATTTACCTTAAATACGTATTTCCCATGTCAACAAATGTGTATTTTAAAACCATCAAATTCTAGAATTAAGGAATGGCTTTATAGCCTTTCATTAATTTTATCACTTGAGATATAAAAATGGATATATATTTATAAATAACCTTCACATATTCTTTCAACTTATCATTCTCGGCTTCCTTTTTATGGATTTGGAACTGTAGTCGTTCATGTACTACTTTTACTGATTGAGAAAAACGGTTTGCTTTCAAAGTATTTGCCTGTAACAAAGAGAAAGAGAAAACCAAAATACATATAATATATAACACAAAATATATATTATAATATATAATATAGTATTTCCCATGTCAATATATAATACATATAATATATATTTTATATTATATATTATATATATTATTTATATTTTATATAATATATATTTTATTTATATAATATATATTTATATATATAATAATATATATATATATTATTTGCTATATCCCCAGCCCAATATCTTTCATTTTACTCCAGTTTAGGCACAATCTAAAGCACTGCATTACATAAACTGCCATCCCTATTACAATTGTATTTCATGCCAAACCAGGGGTAAGATTTTCCCCCCAACCCTTTTGATTTAATGGCTCCTGATAATCATTTCATTTTTAAAACTCCCATCTATATTCCTAAATAAAGTTAACGGTATACCTAAATTGCTCCTAAAAACACTAAAATTCCTTAATTTTTCCCCCAATTGAAATACAATACAAATTTAAAATAGTTCCTAATATGAAGTGATTTATGCCAAGTATCCTGACAAACACCATAAAACTCTAAAAAATAAAATTAGTAAAATTAAGATGCTGTATTTGATAGGTAAAACCTGTAAAATATCCAAATCGTCTAGAATTTCAAAACACTTTTCTGTGTTTACTTCTGAGGAGCTGGGGCCCAGATGGGGAAAAAAAGGGAGTCAATATTAATATAATGAATTAAGCTCAAAAACTCAAATTTTGCTTACCTTTTCATTCTGAAACAAACAAGAAAGTTCTTGGATATGGGCCTCCTTTTCAAATACCTTCTTCTTAAGATTCTTCAGCAAATATAAAATAAGAGTTAGAAATTTCACAACTTGTATAATATTGGCTAATATTATAAAACCAAGTAGTATGCAAATAACAATGACAGAAAGAATGAACACAAAGTAAGTGTGGAAAGACTTACAGCATTTTCACTTTCATCATCAGTTAGATTTTCTAGCAACATGCTGGGTAAATTGTTTCCTGTCTGAAAAAAGAACATTATAAATCAGTGTTCACAAATTATATTTCTCTATGTAAATAAGTAGGAAGTGGAATAAGCTTACTCAAGAAATTAATATGACTTTAATTTAGATTTTTAAAAGAGTTAGCCATTGAAAAGATTTTTGTCCACGTATTCCAAATTCTTTTTGGTCTGCATTTTATGAAATTAGTTAATTTACTAAATTGATCTAACAAAAAAATGCTTCAGAAAGTATAGGGCAATGACACTAAAATTACAAAAACCCTCTATACAAAAGAAGCTCAACACAGTGCTGTTTATCAATAGGGAACAATCTAAATTCTGGCAATAAGAACTCTCTTAAAGAATTACAACAAATCAGTAACAGAATTCTATGTAGCCATTTTAAATGAGCCCATAGATGATTCATTTTTATTCATTTTTGAGAGTCATACTTCTGCTTTAGAATGTGAAAAAGCTATCAATTCTTTTCACCCAAAACCAGGTATACATGTACATATAATGCAAAACTGTACATGGAATTTCAAAGGGCTCATGGATTTCATAAAGGCCATCCTTGGATTCTATAAGGGTCCAAAGAGCTCAAGTTAAGATTTTTTTCTATTAAAAAATATTCAATACATGAGACGATATTGATGATACAGTGTTAAGTATAAAAGTTACAAAACAAAGAGAGTAGTTCTACTCCATTTTTCTAATACACCACGCATATATGCACACATAATATATATACAGTAAAGAAACAAAAGACTGCAAAAGATACACAACATAAAATTAACAGTGCTTAATAGTGATTCTTCACTAAGTGTTGAGATCGAGAATTATTAATATTTCTCTGCTTCTCTAAATTTTCTATAATAAGCATGGAACTTTTTAATTACAAAAACAATTATCTAATATTAGATAATTTTCACAATTCTGAAACAATTTTTATCATAGGAAAAAGCCAAAGGGAGTCAGGAGAATAATTTAGGTGATGTAAAGGGTATAGGGTTTCTTTTTGGAGTGATAAAAATGCTTTAAAATTGACTGTGGTGATGGCTGCGCAACTCTGAATACACTGAAAAACACTGAATTTTATGATTTAAATGGGAGAACTGTATGGTATGTGAATTATAGCTCAATAAAGCTTTTACCAGATTAAGAATATATAGATATGTATAAATATAATGTACACAGGCGCTTAAACTCACAAAGTGTATATTTTATTAGAATCAGCTAAATTAAGTATAATAAAGTTTTTGAGATAAAAATAAAAATATATCTTCTATAAAAATGTGGTTTTCATATAGAACTATTTATGAAAGGGGGCCGGGCGCGGTGGCTCAAGCCTGTAATCCCAGCACTTTGGGAGGCAGAGGCAGGTGGATCACGAGGTCAAGAGATCAAGACCATCCTGGTCAACATGGTGAAACCCTGTCTCTACTAAAACTACAAAAAATTAGCTGGGCATGGTGGCGCGTGCCTGTAATCCCAGCTACTCAGGAGGCTGAGGCAGGAGAATTGCCTGAACCCAGGAGGCGGAGGTTGCGGTGAGCCGAGATCGCGCCATTGCACTCCAGCCTGGGTAACAAGAGCGAAACTCCGTCTCAAAAAAAAAAAAAAGAACTATTTATGAAATATTAAAGGTAGGGATTAATGACTGCCATTTCAAATAAAAATTCAAAGAATTATTTCCATTTCAAATATACCAATAATGTCTATAGTTTAAAAATAATGTACCCTTCAAATGAGAACACTATTTAATGAGTGCTTAGTGTTGATGTCTTACTTGTTTGTAGTCTCTCTTTCTAAGAAGATGTTCTAAAGCTAGTTTTACATTTTTGAAGGTATCTAATTCTTTTGTTAATATTTCCTTCTGTTCGGAAATCTTCTTCAAATTCAATGCAGAAAGATTAGCCTGACAAATTATAAGAACCACATAAATATTTTAAGACATAGCATTAAGTAAAACCCTCTAAAATATGATATTACAAACAATATTTTTTACTAACAAAATCATTCTCTTGTGCATAGTAATAAGAAATGTTATAAAATTTATTATTAATAAATTAGATGTTATACAGTACATTAAAATAAAATGAAATCAAAATAAAGAGCTTAAATAGCATTTATTTAAATAAAAATTATAGAAGATAATCTATTGTTTGTCCCTAAACTTTATATGCTGAAACTTACAAATAGTCCTCTATTCCAAATAATACTATAGAAAACAGATATATTTCATCTCTCAGAAGATTCTAGTTTTAAATTCACTCTTAAGAAAAGCTGATTTTCTAGTTCAACTCCAGGTAATTCAAGCACCAAAATATATTGTTTCTTGCTTAGCCTTTTATCAGGTGTATGCCTGAGATTATCTTTCAGGAAAAGAATTGTAGTTAATTACATGGGAATAAAGAATTCTGGAAAACCCTCACTTTTCGCATTAAATACTCATATGTGAGCATACCTACATAAGATATGAAACCTAGGTTAATGTATTCTGAGTATTATACTAGCTTTTCATTTTATACATATTCATAAGTCACTCACATTTTCAAAATTAATCTCTTCAATGGTGTCCTTAAATAATGGCAAAAGTAACTCTACAGAATGAGTTACCAACTCTGCTTCCTTAAGTGTTGCTTCCAGTTCAGTCTTTTCATTTAGGATGTCCTGCTTCAGGCTAATTACAAATGTACATACAAAATTTAAGTTAAATCCAACTTCATTTAAAGATGCTCCTCAGAAATGCCATATGACCAATACAGTACTCTTAACAGCAAGGATAAATTTTAGTCCAAAAGTATCTGGAAACTTGGACTTTAAGTGTAAGCAAATTTTAAGAATACCTTCAGTGATTTACTTACATTTTACTTGTTTGTAATCACAAGAGTTATTTAGATTAAACATGTATGTAAATTAAGTTTGAAGGAGCATTTTCAATATTTATAAGTAAAATTCCAAGTGATAAATAAAATTCCAAGTGACCCTTTCTTTAACTGGCAGCTTTTCTCTTTCTTTGTAAAACATAATATAATGGCTCATTAACAACTGATGGCATCTTAGAGGCTATGTCAAAAATATGTGTGTTCTTAAGTACAAATGGCTTAAAGTCATGAGCCTAAGAAGATTCTAGCTATGAACGACACCTGCCCCTTATTAAAAACCATGGGCAGAAAGTTAAGTATGATTATAGATGATAAAATATTTTCACTCAAAACAAGTTAAACTAGAAGCTGGACTAAACTACCCATACTGACAATAATGGTATACTAAAATTGCCATTTAGTAGGGGGCAATAATTCATGTAAATAACAAGTGTATTCCCCACTCTAAAGAAGTATGACAGTATTTGCTATACAGTAATACACCAAATGACAGTGAATTCACATTCATTAACTACATTTCTGATATCACATATTATATTTTCATTTATCTTAAATAGCTTTATTTTATAAATTCTTAACAGATGGGGCTTTTTTTTTTTTTTTTTTTCTATTTTTTTTTTTTTTTTTTGAGAGATGTAGTCTTGCTCTGTCACCCAGGCTGAAGTGCAGTGGTGTTACCTCCACTCACTGCAACCTCTGCCTCCCGGGTTCAAGGGATTCTTACAACACAGCCTCCCAAGTAGCTGAGACAACAGGTACACGCCATTGTGTCCAGCTAATTTTTGCATTTTTTCTTAGTAGAGATGGAGTTTCACCATGTTGGCCAAGCTGGTCTTGAACTCCTGACCTCAAATGATCTACCTGCCTCAGCCTCTTAAAGCTGGGATTATAGGCATGAGCCATGGTTTTCATTTTTAATTGCTTTCATTCAGATTCAAAAAAGCTAGCTGAATTCTGCTAGATGAGTACATTTGTAATCAGATTAAATTAACATATTTTAATAAATAAATACTAGATTTGAAGAAGATACTCTTAAAAGAATGCTGTATTTGATTCAAATAATTTATATTATGGACTAAACAGGAAATCCTGAAAGCGGAAATTTAGATTTCCCCTGATACTGATGAGAATACCAGCTGAGATGACTTTCACTGGTACACCGCGGTAAATCTTCTTTCTCTGACATAGTTTTAAGATGTGAAAAGAGTTCTTCTGAATGACTTCCATCATTTATAGGCTTCTCCATAAATTCAGTAAATGGATTTATAGGTGGCTTCACAGCAACTTTTCCATATAAGCTGAAAGCTAGGAAATATTTTAGTTATTAAACTTATTTCAATAGAGATTTTTTTGTCATTACTCTCTCCTAAAAAATAAAGGTTATAAGGATGTGTAAAAGAATAATATTTCAAAGACGAAATAAAAATTATAACTGCCACTCATTTTTATACTAATTCAAAATGGTAGCAAAATTGCATAGCACAACCACTCAACAATGGCCAGTTTCCATATACTGTTTCCAAAAGGCCTGATAATTCCTAAATAATGAGTGTAAAAATCTTTATTAGTCTATTTCTTGAAGTATTACAATAATATTTTAATCCAGCAGGACTATAAAACAAATATAAAAACCATGGGTTACCTATAGTCTGTCTTATTAGGTCTACAACATAAGAAATATATGTTATTCATGCCTAGATCTGTAGAAATTTAACTTTCAAAGTACTTGGCAACAATAGCTACAAAGGATATTCGATTGCAAGTAGGCTTTCAAAATTAAACTCATTTACTCCTATTCCCAACTCAATCTGGAATATTCTTGGTGATAATGAAAAGAACAGACAGACGACATTACTTCCAAATTTTACAAATCTGATTGTTTTTACTCACACCTGCAGATGTCACTTTAAAAATGTGAATATTTATGAATATTATTAATTTCTTCAAATTACTCCAATTTAAGTAATGAGTTGGAGTTTTAGCAACCATATGGGCTATATTTTCCCAACTCTAGTAATGTATGGGAATGTGTTCCCCAACTTCATTTTATGTTAACACAAAATCAAGGGTTATATTTAAAGTTTTCTACTTTTTTTCAGATATTTACCTCTTTGTAATTTAGTTTTACATGTCTGTATTACAAAACATATTATATTCAGGAATTTTTAACACTTAAAGTAGAAGTGAAATTACAGGTTGAAGACTATTTGTATTTAATTAGCCATTCGGAAACCTTCCAAAGTGTCGTTAAAATGTATATATTTTATCTGAATGTTCTATATACTGAAGAGACAAATATCTAGCAAACAGGCCAAAGAAGTATGCTTATATTTTTTAAATACCAAAAAAGTAAAGTCCAAAAGGAACTGCCAAATAACCAACAGATAGTCTGATTCCCTTGAATGCTGCAAATATGCAACATCTATCACAAGAGTATGACAATATTTTGAGCTATCTACAGACTAAAAGAATTACAAAAATACAAAATACAATAAAAAAACCAAACCTAAAAGTTAAGAAGAATATGCTTGGGATGAGTCACTGCAATCAAGAGAACTACCATCTACTAATTTGTTCAGTTACAATAGCTATCCCATACAGAACGCAATTGGTACCAATCCTTCACTTGTTTAAACATTTGTCATATTTGTCTCTTGGTAGTCTGGAATCTCAATAAAGAATGTCTTTTCTATATTTTAATCCTCAGCACCTACAAGCCTTGCAAAAGCTAAGCAATAATTTAAGGAAAAGACATAAGGCTTAGAGCTCTTAATGAATATTATGACTAAAGACTGTTTGCCTTTTTTTTTAATTCACCCCTTGATTTATCTTTTCAGGGATCATTAAAAGAAAAATGGTTCCTATATCTGGAATAAAGGTTTAAAACACAATGTAAGGAGATAGAGATTTTCAATTTGTAGAAAGTATTTTACAAGAGACTAGTTTGGTATTGGTATTTTATACAAAACTTTCTAAAGAAAGTTTTATCATAAGATAAAGTCATACAATTTTTCTGCTTCATCACCTATAATTGGTATCTTAAAGGGCAAACAAATAAATAAAATCAATACACTGTAAAAACAGGAATTTAGAATGACTTTGTGCCTAACATTCTAAAATTGTAGCTACATTACTGACTTCTCAACACACAAGGAAAAGAACTATTTCTCTCAGATATTTCCATGAAAATTATCAACAAGTATCTTCTCCAGGATAAATATTGTTCAGAGATTCCAAGGTACTGCTTTTGTGTTGTGATAACAGTATAACAAAAAATATGTGTTGAAAAAAATATAATAATTTTATTTAGCATAAAAAGTCGTACTTTATAAGAAATGCTAGCATTTTATTGGACCAAATGTATTCTTGTATAGAAAAGCAGACATTTTACAATAAAATGTTTTCAATAATGTGGAATATACTGTCAACTGACAAATGTACTGTACTTTTGTACAACTTGTCAGTGGTGACTGAAACGAAGACACATAGTCTGCATACATGCTTAATGATTAAATCCTTTTAACGATAATTTAAAAATTCTTCAAACTGGTGGCTAGGCACGGTGGCTCACACCTGTAATACCAGAACTTTGGGAGGCCAAGGTGGGCACATCACGAAGTCAGGAGATCAAGACCATCTTGGCAAACAGGGTGAAACTCATCTCTACCAAAAATACAAAAATTAGCTTGGTGTGGTGGTGCACGCCTGTGGCCCCAGCTACTCGGGAGGCTAAGGCAGGAGAATTGCTTCAGTCCAGGAGGCAGAGGTTGCAGTGAGCTAAGATCATGCCATTATACTCCAGCTTGGTGACAGAGCAAGACTCCATCTCAAAAAAGAAAAAAAAAATCTTCAAACTGAACTATAGGAGTGACACAACCTATCAAAACCTCTGGGATACAGCAAAGGAGGTGCTAAGAGAAAAATTCACAGCTTTAAATGTCTACATCGAAAAGTCTGAAAGAGCACAAAAAGACAATCTAAGGTCACACCTCAAGAAACCAGAGAAAGAAGAACAAACCTTCTTACCAACCGAAGGCAGGAAATAACCAAGATCAGAGCAGAACTAAATGAAATTGAAACAAATGAAAAAAAATACAAAAGATAAATGAAACAAAAAGCTAGTCCTTTGGAAAAGACAAATAAAATTGATAGACCATTCGCAAGATTAACGAAGAAAAGAAAAGATTCAAATAAGCTCAATTAGAAATGAAACGGGAGATATTACAACTGATACCAGAGAAATACAAAAGATAATTCAGGCTATTGTGAAGACCTTTACACACATAAATTAGAAAACCTAGAGGAGACGGATAAATTCCTGGAAAGATACAGCCCTCCTAGGCTAGATCAGGAAGAAACTAGAAACTGTGGACAGACCAATAACAAGCAGCAAGACTGAAATCATATTTTTTAAATTATCAACAAAAAAAAAGTCCATGGATTCACAGCTGAATTCTACCAGACATTCAAGGAGTAATTGGTACCAATCCTATTGACAATATTCCACAAGACAGAAAAAGAGGGAATCTTCCCTAAATCATTGTATGAACCAGTATTACCCTAATACCAAAACCAGGAAAGGACATAAACAAAAAAGAAAACTATAGACCAATATCCCTGATGAACATAGATGCAAGAATTCTTAACAAAATATTAGCTAACCGAATCCAACAACGTGTCAAAAAGATAATCCACCATGATCTAGTGTGTTTCATACCAGGGATGCAGGGATGGTTTAACATTCACAAGTCAATAAATGTGACACACCACATAAAAAGAATTAAAAACAAAAATCACATGATCATCTCAATAGATGCAGAAAAAGCATTTGACAAAATCCAGCATCACTTTATGATTTAAATCCCCAGCAAAATCAGCATACAAGGGACATACCTCAATGTAATATCATCTATGACAAATCCATAGCCAACATAATACCGAATGGGGAAAAGTTGAAAGCATTCCCCCTGAGAACTGGAACAAGACAAAGATGCCCACTCTCACCACTTGTATTCAGCATATTAATGGAAGTCCTACCCAGAGCAATCAGACAAGAAAAAGAAATAAAGGGCATCCAAATTAGCAAAGAGGAAGTCAAACTGTTGCTGTTTCCTGATGGTATGATTCTATACCTAGAGAACCCTAAGCACTCCTCCAAAAAGCTCCTAGAACTGACAAATTCAGCAAAGTTTCAGGATACAAAATTAATGTACACAAATCAGTAGCACTGCTATACACCAACAGTGACCAAGCTGATAATCAAATCAAGAACTCAGCCACTTTTATAATAGCTGCAAAAATAATACAATACAATACAATACAATACTTAAGAATATACCTAACCAAGGAGGTGAAAGACCTCTGCAAGGAAAACTATAAAACACTGCTGAAAGAAATCATAGATGACACAAACAAATGGAAACACATCCCATGCTCATGGATTGGTCGAATTAATATTGTGAAAAGGGCCATACTATCAAAAGCAATCTACAAATTCAATGCAATTCCCATCAAAATATCACCATCACTCTTCACAAAACTAGAAAAACCAATCCTGAAATTCACATGGAACCAAAAAAGAGCCCACATACCCAAAGCAAGACTAGATGAAAAGACATCACATTATCCAACTTGAAACTATACTATAAGACCATAGTCACCAAAACAGCATGGTACTGGTATAAAAATAGGCACATAGGCCAATGGAACAAAATAGGGAACCCAGAAATAAACTCAAATATTTACAGCCAACTGATCTTTGACACAGCAAGCAAAAACATAAAGTGGGGAAAGGATACCCTATTCAACAAATGGTGCTGGGATAACTGGCAAGCCACATGTACGAGAACAAAACTGGATTCTCATCTCTCACCTTATGCAAAAATCAACTCAAAATGGATCAAAGATTTAAATGGAAGAACTAAAACTATATAAATCTAAGAACTGAAACTACAAAAATTCTAGAAGATAACATCAGAAACACCCTTCTAGACACTGGCTTAGGCAAGGATTTCATGACCAAGAACTCAAAATCAAATGCAATAAAAATAAAGATAAAAGCTGAGACTTAATTAAACTAAAGAGCTTTTGCATGGTAAAAGAAATAGAGTAAACAGACAACCCACAGGGTGGGAGAAAATCTTCACAATCTATACATCTGACAAAGGACTAATATCCAAAACCAACAACAAATTTAAATAAATTAGCAAGAAAAAAATAAATAATCCCATCAAAAAGTGGGCTAAGGACATGAATAGACAATTCTCAAAAGAATATATTCAAATGGCTAACAAACAAAAAAATGCTCAACATCACTAATGATCAGGGAAATACAAATCAAAACCACAATGTGATACCATCTTACTCCCACAAGCACAGTCATAATAAAAAAATTTAAAAATAATAGATGTTGACATGGATGCAGTGAAAAGGGAACACTCGTACACTGTTGGTAGGAATGTAAACTAGTACAACCACTATGGAAAAGAGTGTGGAGATTCCTTAAAGAACTAATAGTAGAATAACCATTTGATCCAGTGATCCCACTACGAGGTATCTACCCAGAGGAAAAGAAATCATTAATATAGAAAAGATACTTGCACATGCGTGTTTATAGCAACACAATGTCCCTCATCAATAAATAAAAAAAAAAACTGAGATATATATATTTTTTCTCAAAAGACTATATGCAAAATCTGGCATCCCTTTATGATTTAAACCCCCAGCAAAATAAGCATACAAGGGACATACCTCAATGTAATAAAAGTCATCTATGACAAACCCATAGTCAACAAATACTGAAAGGGGAAAATTTGAAAGCATTCCCCCTGAGAATCCTATGCTCTCTCTATACATATATAGAAAACCAAACATCATATGTTCTCACTCATAAGGGGGGGGTTAAGCTATGAGGATGCAAAAGCATAAGAATGAATCAATGGACTTTCGAGACTCAGAATGAAAGGGTGGGAAGGGGGTGAGTGATAAAAGACTACAAATTGGATTCAGTGTACACTGCTCAGGTGATGGATGTACCAAAATCTCACAAATCCCTACTAAAGAACTTATTCATGTAACCAAATACCACCTGTTCCCCAAAAATCTATGGAAATAAAAAATTAATCAAGAAATCATTTAAAAATCCTTAAAGATGAGCAATTTTAAAATATTTTTAAATGTTTAAAGATTTAAATTTCCTATAGAGACAATTTTGCCAGTCTATTGTCAACAGGACATGTACTTAAAGCTTTTTCCAGGAGTACTGGTAGGTTATACTGATCCAGCTACATTCACTGAACTAATGTTCCATTTTGGCCAACAGCAAGCATTGGTGGATAACTATTCAGGAACCATGGTCAGAGAAAAAGAAAGATCATGGTCCATGATCTTCCTTAACACTTAGATCAGACTAAGTAAACTAACCAACTTCAGATGAATATGTATTTTAAAACAATCTCTCTGAAGAGAACAGTATATAAATCCTGCAGATTTTGTTTCGCCAAACATAAATTCTTAGAAATTATTCTTAACTTTCATTGTCTTCAAACACAACTTCTACTGAAAAAAAATCACCATGAAATATTCAGCAAGGAACAAAGTAGATGTAGGAATGCTGTTTTCTTCCCCCTACTATTCTGGACACTAGTTTAGTTAAACGTTTACTAGAGAGGTAATTATGTCAAAAAAAAAAAGCGGGTTATTTGTAGGGGGTCCCTGAGCAAGATGGCCAAATAGGAGCAGCTCCCATGCACAGCTCCCAGTGAGATGGTTGCAGTGCAGAAAGCGGATGATTTCCACATTTCCAACTGAGGTACCTGATTCATCTCATTGGGACTAGTTGGACAGTGGGTACAGCCCAAAGAGGGCAAGCCAAAGCAGGGTGGGGGCATCACTTCACCCAGGAAGTGCAAGGACCTGGGGAATTCCCTCACCTAGCCAAGGGAAGCTATTAGGGACTGTTTCCTGCACTCTGGCCCAGATACTGCATTTTTCCCAAGGTCTTCACAACCCAGGAACCAGGAGATTCCCTCTGGTATCTACACAAGTACTGGGGCCCTGGGTTTCCAGCACAAAACTGGCTGGCCATTTGGGCAGAAACCGAGCTAGCTGCAGCATTTTTTTTTCATACCACACTGGTGCCTAGAACACCAGAAAAACGGAACTGTTCATTCCCCTAGAAAGGGGGCTGAAGCCAGGGAGCCAAGTGGTCTGGTTCGGCGAGTCCCACCCCCACAGAAACCAGCAAGCTAAGATACCCTAGCTTAAAATTCTCACAGCCAGCACAGCAGTCTGAGCTCGACCTGGGTCATTCAAGCTCGGTGATGGGAGGAGCATCCACCATTGCTGAGACACTCGAGTAGGCGGTTTCAAACCCACAGTGTAAGCAAACCTGCCAGGAAATCTGAACTGGGTGGAGCTCAACACAGCTTAGCAGCTGCAGGCACTATCTCACTAGTTGTCCTCGCTGGGCAGAGCACCTCTGAAAAAAGGCAGCAGCCCATCAGGGACTTATAAATAAAGCCCCACCTTCCTGGGACAGAACATCTGGGAAAAGGAATGGTAGTAGGTACAGCT